AGTGGTTGCAAATTTATTTATTTTTTTCTTTCCTAATAAACATTTTCTACTTGCTCTGTGCAATAGGTTTGAACAGAGCAGCCCCAAACCTCCTTTTCTGGGGTCCCCCAGCTGTGCTCTTGGCTCTTCTTCTCCAGGTGCCCCCATAGCAAGCCACATGCTATAGGGGCACTCATACGGGCTCGATTCTGAGCCAGGCTGTGTGCTTTTATAGACACGGGGCGGCTCAGCCCCGCTCCCCACACGATGTCGCTTCCGGCCTCCCAGGACCATAGAGATGGCCGAGGACCACCTGGTGCACAGCCAGCTCTGTGATAACCCGGCAGCAGTACCGGATCACGGCTCGGCCTTCCCGATTGCACAGCCCAGTAACAGCTCTGGATTACTTTTTACTTGAAAGAGGATCTCCAGCTTGAAATAACGGGATCATGTTTGTAGCCTCCACTATGATCCTGGTATAACCGCTTCCCTATCAGCATGTATCTGTACTATCACTGGTAGGGAAGCAGGTGATAAACCGCGGGGCTCCACCCACCCAGCCTCATCATACCTTCACACAGGGGTGTGAATGAACGAACTACAAGTACCATCAGCCACCGCAGCAGGCGCCTTGTCGTTCTCAATGAACTGCGAGGGTGCTAAGCATAGCTCATTGATTCTTCCTTCTCTTCAGTAACTTCCTATACAGGCGGTGCGGGCAGAGGCTCTGTAGGATCCTGAAATAAAAAATATTTTTTTTTTTTTACACAAACGTGAATATTATCCATTATTTCAGGTACTTATATAGCTGTCAATTTACACAGCGCTTTTCCATATATATTGTACATTCACATCAGTCCCCGCCCCCGAGGAGCGTACAATCTAAGGTTTATAGCTCACATTCATACATACACATACTAGGGCCAATTTAGACAGGAGCCAATTCACCTCCCAAAATGTCTTTGGCGTGTGGGAGGAAACCGGAGTACCCGGAGGAAACCCACGCCGGAACAGGGAGAACATGCAAACTCCAGGCAGGTGGTGCCGTGGTTGGGACTGAACCAACAACCTGAGTACTGCCAGGTGGAAGTGCCAACCATTTATCTGCTGTGCTTTAAAAACTGTTGGACCTCATCGTATTCCGTGCCCGTCTGCTGGTGTCACGGTTGCAGAATCCACTCATCCATGTGTAAAGGCTTTCAAACACGCAAAGAACTTCAGCGCACATAACTTTTCTTTTGTTTTTTTTGGTTTTTTTTTGTCTCGAGTACAGAATGGCCTGCTGGCTCTTACAGTTCGCTGCTGAGTTCTCGGTAAATTCCTCCTGCCTGGCTGCATTGTGTTGGAGCCCCTCCTTAGCCTGTCAGGTGTCAGCTGCTCTGCTACATATTACATGGGAACATCGACGCATACGTGTCACAGCTGGTCTGAGCTTCGCTGTAAACAATCCTCTGGATTGGCGCCCATCAGCGGTTCCGCTGCAACATCTGCCTCTTGTACTGAACGCACACTGCGAGCCTGGAATCCGGGGGCTCCGCGATGTGCTGCAGGCCATTTTCCTCTTGCTGGAATTGTAGCTGAAGTCGGGAACAGACAGTTCTTTTGCGCCTGATGGCACATGAGAGTACAGGATTACCCGGAGGAAACTCACACAAGGACAGGGATAACATGCAAACTCCATGCACATTGTGTCCTGGCTTGGAACAAGAGGACACCAGGACTGCAAGAACACATAGCAGCCAATCCCCTTTTGGCTTACTGGATTCAGATCGGGATAAATTGTTTGCTTTGGATTGCTGCAGCACATTCATAAAGTATTCAGACCCTCTTCACTTTTATGTTGCAACCTGATACTACAGTTGTTTTCTGTTCCTTTTTTTTTTTTTTTTTCTCATAAATCCACACTCTATGCCCCATAATGACAGTGAGAAGAGAATTTTAGAAGTGTAGGAAAGACTGAAATCTCACATTGGCATAAGTATTCAGACCCTTTGCAACAACACTTGAAATTTAGCTCAGGCGCCTCCCATTATTCTTAATAGTTGAGATGTTTCTACACCCTGATTGGAGTCCTCCCGTGGTAAATTCAATTGATTGGACATGATTTGGAAAGGCACACGCCTCTCTATAAAAGGCCTCATCGAGGACAATTCATACTGTATCAGAGCAAAAGCCATGAGGTTAAAGGAACTGCTTGCAGAGCTCAGAGACAGGATTATTGCATCTGGGGAAAGCTTCAAACACGTTTCTGCTGCATTGAAGGTTCTCCAGAGCACAGTGGCCTCCATAATTATCAAATTGAAGAAAGAGGTGGTCACCCAACCAAACTGAGAAATCGGGGAGAAGGGCCTTAGTAAGCCATGAGGTTGAAGGAACTGCCTGCAGAGCTCAGAGACAGCATTATTGCATCTGGGGAAAGCTTCAAACACGATTCTGCTGCATTGAAGGTTCTCCAGAGCCCTGTGGCCTCCATAATTATCAAATGGAAGAAGTTTGGCACAACCAGGACTCTTCCAAGAGCTGGTCACCCAACCAAACTGAGCAATCAGGGGGAGAAGGGCCTTAGTAAGAGAGGTGACCAAGAACCCGATGGTCACTCTGATGGAACTCCAGAGATCCTGTGTGGAAATGGGACAAAGGTCCAGAAAGACGACCATCACTGCAACCCTCCACTCATCTGGGCTTAGTGGCTGGACAGAAGCCTCTCCTTGGTGCCAAAAACATCTTAGAAGCTGATGTCTTCCGAGTTGTCCTGGACTCCTTCAGGTGTGACACAGCTCTGTCAGTTGAGTTTTGTATCATGGTCTTGCAAGATTTGATGACCCAGATTGCCCAGTTATTTGCTTACTCTTGTCACAGAGAGCACAAGTGCCCTTCCACGCCTCCGTGGCCTTGGCGACTATTGAACCATCGGCCAAAAAGACTGGTCTAATCCTGTGTGGCTCCAGTCCTTGACCGATTGCCCCTGAGGAGTTGGAAATCTGCTGTTGCTCCCCAAGTTAAAGGAGAATGTTCCGGCCTTGCTGTGGTGATTTGTTTGTTGAGTGTCTCGTGTCCGTTTATATGCCTAGGGTACTTAGTGCTGGACTGCAGAACTTTGTCCACATGGCCTTCAGGGGATAGAATCTCTTCAGACCAGCTCTTGGCACAACATCTTCATGGATGCAGCTGACTGCAGTCTGTTCCTTTGGCTTCAGCTGAGGAAGATGGCTGCTCTTGGAAAGTCTTCCACCTCCTTATCTGTTGAGAAACAACCCTTTTGTTTTCCCCAAACTTCCAAATCCATCACCTCCAGACCGATCTGTCTTATGTAGGGATGCACCAATATATCATCCGCCGAAGATGATCAGCAAATAAGTGCTGATAATGGCATGCTGCGTCCCGGTTGACGTCGGGGCAAAGTGTCGTCCCGGTTGACGTCGGGGCCAAAGTGTCGTCCCGGTTGACGTCGGGGCGGAAGTGTCGTCCCGGTTGACGTCGGGGCGGAAGTGTCGTCCCGGTTGACGTCGGGGCGGAAGTGTCGTCCCGGTTGACGTCGGGGCGGAAGTGTCGTCCCCCGGTTGACGTCGGGGCGGAAGTGTCGTCCCGGTTGACGTCGGGGCGGAAGTGTCGTCCCGGTTGACGTCGGGGCGGAAGTGTCGTCCCGGTTGACGTCGGGGCGGAAGTGTCGTCCCGGTTGACGTCGGGGCGGAAGTGTCGTCCCGGTTGACGTCGGGGCGGAAGTGTCGTCCCCGGTTGACGTCGGGGCGGAAGTGTCGTCCCGGTTGACGTCGGGGCGGAAGTGTCGTCCACCACATTAAATTTAATGACGAAAAAATCGGGGCTGGAAGTGTCGTATCCGATTTTTTTTTTTGACGTCGGGGCACGAAGTTCGACCCGTTGACGTCGGGGCGGAAGTGTCGTCCCGGTTGACGTCGGGGCGGAAGTGTCGCCATGGCCGGTTGATCGTCGGGGCGGAAGTGTCGTCCCGGTTGGTCGGGGCGGAAGTGTCGTCCCGGTTGACATTTCCGGGGCGGAAGTGTCGTCCCGGTTGACGTCGGGGCGGAAGTGTCGCCCCGGTTGACGTCGGGGCCGAAGTGTCGCCCCGGTTGACGTCGGGGCCGAAGTGTCGCCCCGGTTGACGCCGGGATTTTTAATGCCGAAGTGTCGCCCCGGTTGACGCCGGGGCCGAATTTGAACTGCAAAATTGCCAGCCACATTAAATTTAATGAAGAAAAAACTAAATTTTCTGCCAAGTTTATCCTGATTTTTTTTTTTTTTGTTTCGGCACCAGAGTTTTCATTTCGGTGCCACCACTAGTTTGATCACTGAGGACCGGGTTGTCCCGGCCCTTTGGGTGTCTCTACTGCAATGGACCATCCTACTGGAGATTCCTCTTGTTCTGGATTCAGTCAGACGCCATGGCAGCGGTGTACGTCCATCATCAAGGAGGGTTCAGAAATGTCCCAGCAAGAGGTAGATCCGATCCTGTTCTGGACACAACTAAATGTTCCAACCTGGTCAGCAAAGACCATTTCCCCAGGCAAACGTTAGCTGGGGGAACGGCCTGGGATCATCTACCACAGTGGCACTGGACTGACACGGTGGGGAACATTCTGCACAGAGAGCAGGAGGGACATCCATAGTCCACCCCCGTCCCCCCACCCCCTCGCAACTGTTGAGCTCAGAAATTACGTTTAACTTTTTTCTAAATATAAAATATTGTGCAACATAAATTGCAACTACCATCATTTAATTCTCCAGGGTCTTTGCTTTCAGAATGTATATATTTCTGGGTAAGATTAGTTTATTTCTATCAAGTGTAGATTTTAATGAGTGCAAAAATGTAAAAAAAAATGTCCCCGGTAGGCAGGTGGTTAAAGAGAAGTGTGGGGAATCCGCATGATTGAACTGAAATTGTCCAGCTATACACTTGAACTGTGTTTTGGGTTTTATAAAAAAAATTTTTCCTATGGAATCTGATGAAATTTCTATCACTGTTGTGTATTTTTCTGACCAGTGCTGTTTTCTGTCTGCTTCAGGTTTACTGTGCGACTTGTTGTGGTCGGATCCCGATAAAGATGTACAAGGCTGGGGGGAGAATGACCGCGGCGTCTCCTTCACTTTTGGGGCAGATGTCGTTAGCAAATTCTTGAACCGACACGACCTGGATCTGATTTGTCGAGCTCATCAGGTATGTCATCACTGCACTGCCTACAGATGCAGAACTTCGAAGCTTGGCATTCTGATTGGCCAATACCTGACAAATTGTGTAATTCCTTTCAAGAGGCTCTGAAGGCTGAATGTTTATTCACCCCGCATTTCACTATATCCGCTGTCCCCGGACCCCGCATTCACTATATCCGCTGTCCCCGGACCCCGCATTCACTATATCCGCTGTCCCCGGACCCCGCATTCCCTATATCCGCTGTCCCCGGACCCCGCATTCACTGTATCCGACCTCCCCCCGGACCCCGCATTCACTGTATCCAACCTCTCCCCGGACCCCGCATTCACTGTATCCGACCTCTCCCCGGACCCCGCATTCACTGTATCCGACCTCTCCCCGGACCCCGCATTCACTGTATCCGACCTCTCCCCGGACCCCGCATTCACTGTATCCGACCTCCCCCCGGACCCCGCATTCACTGTATCCGACCTCCCCCCGGACCCCGCATTCACTGTATCCGACCTCCCCCCGGACCCCGCATTCACTGTATCCGACCTCCCCCCGGACCCCGCATTCACTGTATCCGACCCCTCCCCCCGGACCCCGCATTCACTGTATCCGACCTCCCCCCGGACCCCGCATTCACTGTATCCGACCTCTCCCCGGACCCCGCATTCACTGTATCCGACCTCTCCCCGGACCCCGCATTCACTGTATCCGACCTCTCCCCGGACCCCGCATTCACTGTATCCGACCTCTCCCCGGACCCCGCATTCACTGTATCCGACCTCCCCCCGGACCCCGCATTCACTGTATCCGACCTCCCCCCGGACCCCGCATTCACTGTATCCGACCTCCCCCCGGACCCCGCATTCACTGTATCCGACCTCCCCCCGGACCCCGCATTCACTGTATCCGACCTCCCCCCGGACCCCGCATTCACTGTATCCGCTCTCCCACAGTACACAGAACAAGGAAATGCCATTATTTTAGTAAATATAAACTGTTAAATACCTTTTCTCATCAGCAGTATAGAGCAGTCTTGTGATTTCTCAGTGTCCAGCAGAGCACTGGTTAAAGCTTGTAGGAGGAGTTTTTTCTTTCTGCTGTAGGAAGATGCAGTTGGGGCCTTTCTGTGTCAGTGAAGCCACCTCAGGAAGCATCTATCTGTGGGGGCGCTCAGCAGAGGGAAGGGGCCAGACATGCTAGCAGGGTACCTGAGAAGAGGAGGATTGAGGCTACTCTGTGCAAACCCATTACAGCGTAGGTAAGTATAACGTTGGTTTTTTTTGTTTTGGTTTTTTTCTTTTTTGTTTTTTTTTTTAAATAAAAATGTCAGCATTTGAAATCACTTTAAAGGATTGGTTCACCTTTTGTATGTGACATTTTTTTTTTTTTTATTACTGTACTATACTTTATACTTTTTTTACTTTACTATTTTACATTTTTTTTTTTTTTTTTTTTTTTGTGAGCCTGTAGAGCATTTGCACCAGCGATCAGCAGTTCCCTGGTGCCATGCACGTCTCCTGCAGACCTGTCAGTGTGCGCGGCGGTCTGGCAAGGCAGGCACTTTCACACTGACAGAATCAGTGAGCTGCCAGCTCCATGATAGTTGGAGAACTACAAGCCGACATCCACAATGGATAGGTAGTTGATTCGATGACAGAGCTCTGCATGGAGGTGAGAGAACCTTCAGCCTTTAGAGCCACTTATATGGAATATCCGCATTCCCTGAATGTCCCCCCCCTGTAGTCCCCCCCCCCCCCCCCCCCCCCCCCCCCCCCCTATCAGGAGGTGAAACGATGGTGTTTTGTAGTCGCTCAGCAGAACGGTGTCATGGTCTGTCTTGTCCCCCCACCAGGTAGTAGAAGATGGATATGAATTCTTTGCCAAGCGGCAGCTGGTCACCCTGTTCTCCGCCCCGAACTACTGCGGGGAGTTTGACAACGCGGGGGGCATGATGAGCGTGGATGAGACCTTGATGTGCTCCTTCCAGGTATGTCAGACCAATGAAGCCGATGCAGGAACTACCCATCATACCCCCCCCCCTCCCCCAGTGTAGGGAGCGGCAGTGCAGCTTCAAGCTTCCCACGATGGGGAGAGGTGCAGCTCAGACAGGGAAGCGTATTACCTCTCAGCCAGCCGGTGAAATGTCGGCCAGCAGTTCCTTCATTTTCATCGTGTTTGTTCTCTGGAGTATTTTGCAGGATGAGATCTGGGAATGGGAGTTAAAAGTCGACCTAGAAAATGTTATTTTAGTTTTGTAGTGACCTAGCTTTCTGGGATTGCAGTCAGCAGTGCAGGGATGCCAGTCCTCTTCCTGTCTCTGACGTTCGTGCGCCGCGGGAGTTTAGGTTCGGATCTCCGGACTGAATTCCATAGAAGAAGCCCCCCTTCCCCTTCCATGTATTGCATGTACACCGCCTGTGGATGGGAGGGGGGCGCTCGTCGTCCATCAGACTCTCCAAAATCAAACTGTCACAGAAATAGATGTTCAGAGATGAGAAGAGGACTGGCAGCCTGACCAACGCAGCATATCCTTCATTACAGGTTAACTTGGGTCACTAAAGCTGTAGGGGGCAAAAATCTGATCTGGAAGGTTTCAAGCTGACTATTTACCAGGGAAGGTTTACTAGATGGAGCGGAGTCCTCCAGCAGTGCAGAGTATTTCAGGACAGTTATAGAGGAAGGAGCGGAGTCCTCCAGCAGTGCAGAGTATTTCAGGAGAGGAGTTATAGAGGAAGGGGCAGAGTCCTCCGTCAGTGCAGAGTATTTCAGGAGAGGAGAGTTAGAGGAAGGAGCGGGAGTCCTCCAGCAGTGCAGAGTATTTCAGGAGAGGAGAGTTATAGAGGAAGGAGCGGAGTCCTCCAGCAGAGCAGAGTATTTCAGGAGAGGAGTTATAGAGGAAGGAGCGGAGTCCTCCAGCAGAGCAGAGTATTTCAGGAGAGGGAGTTATAGAGGAAGGAGCGGAGTCCTCCAGCAGCGCAGAGTATTTCAGGAGAGGAGAGTTATAGAGGAAGGAGCGGAGTCCTCCAGCAGTGCAGAGTATTTCAGGAGAGGAGTTATAGAGGAAGGAGCGGAGTCCTCCAGCAGTGCAGAGTATTTCAGGAGAGGAGTTATAGAGGAAGGAGCGGAGTCCTCCAGCAGTGCAGAGTATTTCAGGAGAGAGGAGTTATAGAGGAAGGGGCAGAGTCCTCCAGCAGTGCAGAGTATTTCAGGAGAGGAGTTATAGAGGAAGGGGCAGAGTCCTCCAGCAGTGCAGAGTATTTCAGGAGAGGAGTTATAGAGGAAGGAGCGGAGTCCTCCAGCAGCGCAGAGTATTTCAGGAGAGGAGAGTTAGAGGAAGGAGCGGAGTCCTCCAGCAGTGCAGAGTATTTCAGGAGAGGAGAGTTATAGAGGAAGGAGCTGAGTCCTCCAGCAGTGCAGAGTATTTCAGGAGAGGAGAGATCTGGAGGAAGGAGCGGAGTCCTCCAGCAGCGCAGAGTATTTCAGGAGAGGAGAGATCTGGAGGAAGGGGCGGAGTCCCGGCAGTAGATCAGTCACATGGGGTATGTTGTATAGGATTCTGGACTCTAACATGCTGCATATTCTCCTCCGTAGATCTTGAAGCCATCGGAAAAGAAAGCGAAGTACCAGTATGGCGGTCTGAACTCCGGCCGCCCCGTGACGCCCCCTCGGACAGCGAACCCGCCGAAGAAGAGGTGAAGAGCGTATGGTCCTGCAGACTCCCGATCCCCATCAGACTCCACCTTATATTACACGTGTGCACTGTAACATCACCTCGCCATTCTGACCCTCCTTTTTAAACATGTCACGCGCGTTTACCTTACACGAGACAGGTAAAAGATTCCGGACTTTTAATCTGCTTCCCTCCCAAGTCTAGTATGCGCCGCTAAAAAACCAACACAAGCCCCGCCCATCTCCCGCCACGGCATTGCAGACTCCTCCTCCATAACATAGTCACACAAAAAAACTGCAAGCCCGTTCCAAAAAAAAAAATCCGGCTAGGGTCAAAAGCAGCGTCGCTCATTGTCCCACCGCGTCCTACAGCGTCGCATTAACCCTTTCAGTTCCAGCCCAGATTTTACAGTGCGCCATTCTTTATTGTATGTCCTGGCGCGGGGGGGGGGGGGGGGGGGGGGGGGGGTTGTGGCTCCCTACCGCTCTGGCATTGAAGGGGTTAGTCTTTACCATTGTCTCTGAAGCCTCACCGCTTTTATCTTTTTTTTTTTGTTTTTTTTTTGTTTTTTTTTGTTTTTTTTTTTTTAAATAGTTAGTTGTAATTTCTGACTTCCCCTTTAAAAATAAGAAATCACCCGTTTTGTGTGTTCTGTGGTATTTTTTGCTTTTTTTTTCCCCCACACTTTAGCTGTTTTTGTTTTTTAGTTTTTCCTCTACAGTCTCGCCTAGACAAGCGACCACTTTTGTTGGGGGTTCTTTACCTGCTTTTTGACATTAAAGATTACTCTTCTTGGTACCTATGGTTTGTGTACAGCTTGCTTCGTACAGGACGATGTCAGGAGAACGAACTGATCATCGCAGCCGATCTTCTCCCCCCTCCCCTCCCCCGTAATGTCCACCACGTGTTCTTGGCTTCACTCGATGTTTTTGTTTTTTTTTTTTTTTTTCTTTTTGAACTGACATTCGGTCCTCCTGGCATTACTGTAGTTGGCAGTTTCACCTTTCTCCTCTAACCTAACCCCCCCCCCCGACTTCAGTTCCAGTGTATTACAGCATGTATTGACGAAACGTTTGTTTGCACATGAACGCCTGTTTTCTGATTCTACAGCTCATAGTCCCTTCTAGGTCCTTCCTGGAGTCGCGTCGTATATGGACTCCAGGATTCGGGGTTTAGAAGCGATGAATTTTTGCAGACCGTACTTGCTGCTAGCCACACCTCCCTGACCCGCGTCCGGGGGTTAGTATGAGCGTGTCGGGCGCACGGCGCTGGCAGCGATTTTACTGAGCAGAGTAAGTAGGAGCCACGGTGGAGTCGCGAAGAGAAACGTTGGCTCCGCCCATAAAGGCGCTGCCACGGCTGTGCGTCAGACAGGCGCGCATTAACTGATTTACAAGCAGCAGTCACACTATTAACAATGAATTGTATTCTTTACAAGCAATCTACTAAATGCTTTAAATATCTTTTGTTTGTTTTCTTTTCTTTTTTTTTTTTCTTTCCGTTTAATTCAATAAAATGTCATTAGAAAAAAAATAAAATCTGAAAATGTGATTTGTGTTCAGCAGGAGCACGTTCGCTGTTAGGTGGGCCTAGTGTAGATGAGCGGAGCGACCGGAGGCTTCTATGGGGGGATTCCTAGAGGGGAACTACAATCTGAGCCCCACAAACTAATCAAAGAAAATGATCCCATCCATCCATTCATGTCGCCATCCATCCATTCATTCATGTCTCCATCTATCTATCTATCTATCTATCTATCCATCCATCCATCCGTTCATCTGTCTTTGTCCCATCCGTCACATCTCTGTCCGTCCATCCATCCATCATCTATCTGTCCATCCGTCCATCCATCTATCTCCGTCCATCTCTCCGTCCATCCAGTCACATCTCTGTCCGTCATCCATCCATCGTCTGTCCATCGTCCATCCATCCATCCACGTCTCCGTCCATCCATCCATCCACGTCTCCGTCCATCCATCCATCGATTCATATCTCCATCTATCCATCCATCCGTTCATCTGTCTTTGTCCATCCGTATCCATCCATCCACATCTCTGTCCATCCATCCATCCACATCCATCTATCTGTCCATCCATCCATCATCTCCGTCTCTGTCCATCCATCCACATCCATCTATTTGTCCATCCACGTCTCTGTCCATCCATCCATCCCCATCTATCCCATCCATCCACATCTCTGTCCATCCATCCACCCACCCACCTATCCACATCTCCATCCATCCACCCATCTATCCGTCCACCCCGTCTCCCTCTCTGTCCATCCATCTGTCCACCCACGTCTCCGTCTCTGTCCCTGTCCGTCCATCCATCTGTCCACCCACGTCTCCGTCTCTGTCCCTGTCCATCCATCCACCCATCTATCCGTCCACCCACATCTCCGTCTCTGTCCATCCATCCACCCATCTATTTGTCCATCCACGTCTCTGTCCATCCATCCACCCATCTATCCGTCAATCCACATCTCTGTCCATCCATCCACACCACCCACCTATCACATCTCCATCCATCCACCCATCTATCCGTCCATCCACGTCTCCCTCTCTGTCCATCCATCTGTCCACCCACGTCTCCGTCTCTGTCCCTGTCCGTCCATCCATCCGTCCACCCACGTCTCCCTCTCTGTCCATCCATCTGTCCACCCACGTCTCCGTCTCTGTCCCTGTCCGTCCATCCATCTGTCCACCCACGTCTCAGTCTCTGTCCCTGTCCATCTATCCACCCATCTATCCGTCCACCCACATCTCCGTCTCTGTCCATCCATCCAGTTTGTTGAGAAATCACTGTGGAAAACACTCCCCTAGCATGTCTATCCGTGGCCATCTTAAGTAAGGGCAGCTGATTCATGTAGCATTTACTTCCTGGAATCCATCTGCCCTTAGTCATGCAGGGAGGAGTGTGCTCAGCTGAGAAAGCCCCTCCATTGAAGACTCCTGTGATGAGTGACAACATTTTGGCCTAGGCAAGAAACCAGGAAGTCACAGAAGAAATGTGTTTTAATATATAAAACCAGTCAATATAATCTGCCTTCCTTTCTATATACTAACATTAGCAGCATAAGGATTAGAGTTCACGAGGATCAAGAGTGCGGAGTTCCCCTTTAACAAACGCTCAGTGAAGCCCGTAATTCAGCCATAGGGTCAGCGCCGCCGTTGGTCAGCTGCCATTTCCAGGATCTAAGCAATGTCAGCCTCCGTATGCAACCTGCAGCCGCCCCCCCGCCAGCATGCTGCAGAAAGGGGACCCTTGCTCTGTGTGGAAGCAGTGGTCTCTCTGCAGAGGGCTGACACGCCCATTACTGACCCACAATTCCAGCTCTGCTGTCCATCTAATGCTTCCTGCTGACGTGGAGAGTTCTACCTCTGGAAAAAGGGGGGGGAGGGGCAGATATAAAACCTGCATCTAAAAATCTGTATGAAAGCAAACTATTCCCACGCACCGGGTCTATGGAACCCGTGATGGAGGTTTCTGCACAATAAAGGGCACAGCGTTTCATCCCCTGAAATCCATCAGCTGTATCGGCCTGTGCGGCGACCTGCTCGCTCCGCAGCCGGCACCCTGCTGAACAAACCATAGAAAGTGCTTCTCCCCTCAATGTTGCCGAAATGTCATACCGGTGCGTTCCCCCAAAAAGATTCCTGGGGATATCCATCCAACGTGTTTCAGGGGGAATGTCCCGCACGTCCTCAAAAGCTAATTTACAGAAAAACAAACTAGTCCTGAGGAGGGGGGGAAGCATGTGCCCAAAATGTGTTTTGTGTGTCTTAACCACTTCCCGACCGGCCGTTGCATATAAACGGCCGGACGGTGGCAGTGCAGGGTCGGGTGGCCGTGTATAAACGGCCTCCCCGCACCCTGCTTGTGCGCGCTCCCTGGGAGCGCGCAGCACCGCGATCCGGTGCCCGCTGTGTCCTCCGGACACAGTGAAACACCGATCGTCGGACGGGACCTCTGTACGAGGTCCCGATCATGTGATCACTGATTGGCCAATCAGTGATCACATGCAAAGTAGTAAGCAAGATGTCACTTGTGACATCATTGCTTACTACGTGTGAAATCTGTGAATGATCATGTGACAAGCTGTGACCAATCACAGCTCAGTCAGTACTTCTCAATGAGTGCAGGAATGCACACAGAGAGAAAGAGAAATGATTGCTTTTACATCCTATATGGGTGTAAAAGCAATGTGTAAAAAAAAAAAAAAAAAAAAAAAAAAAAAATCTTCATCACCCCCCACAAGTAGTACAGTGTCACCATGGTGACCCCACACTGCTAGGGTGACAGTATGTAAAAAAAAAAATAAAAAAAATAAATAATAATATAAAAAAATAAAATAAAAATGTAAAAAAAATGTTTAAAAAATATAATTTTTGTTATAAACTAATTTGGATTTTTTTTTTTTTTACTAAAAAGATAACTGAATAAATTTTGGCAAAGATTTATGATGAAATATTATTTATTTGCAAAAATTTTATAAAAAAAAACACTTTTTTTCAAAATTTTTGGACTTTTTCATTTACATAGCAAAAAAAATAAAAATCCCAGCGGTGAATAAATACCACCAAAAATAAAGCTTTATCTGTTTCAAAAAAATGGTAAAAAATTCATTTGGGTACAGCGTTGCATGACCGCGCAATTGTCATTCAAAGCGTGATAGCGCTGAAAGCTGAAAATTGCCCTGGTCAGGAAGGGGGGGGGGGGGGGGGGGGGGGGAAAGTGTCCGGACTGGAAGGGGGGGGGGGGGGAAAGTGTCCGGACTGGAAGTTTCAGGGGGGGGGGGGAAAGTAGTGGGACTGGCGGGGGGGGGGGGGGGGGGGGGGGGGGTGCCGGGGGAAGGGGGGGGAAGTGTCCGGACTGGAAGGGGTTAAGAAATAAAAATGTGGACTTAACCTTCAGTACCGCCAACGTTTTATACTGGGAGATCCTCAACGCCCACCTCACAGCTGAGATCTACTGTATGTTGTCTTCCATCCGCCAGGCAGCAACCAAAGACTGGATCCAAATCTGGT